CCCTGAACCCTACAACAATATACCCATAGATCCCTTCTAGCGGTCCCCTGTGGACCCGGGTTCCTTTAAAGCTTCGAAGCCTGGAGACATTGCAAACTTTATGAAGTCCTGCATGGCTGTCAGCAACTGTAGGTCCGCTTCCTGCGGACTGGGGAAGTGCTGCTGCCCAGCTTGTCGAACGGTTGATGATAGAAATCCTGCATTACCCATAACAAAGAATTTACCATAATTCTCATAGTTTCGGGTCCTTAAGGTAATGCAGGATTTATCATCAACAGAAGGAGTCCATCCGCCTCTAAGCCGGAAGTCAAGGGTTTTTTTAAGGGCTCTAGGGTTCAAAGGGGTCGGGCTTCAACGGTTGGGCTTTAGGGCTTCAGGGTTCCCGGGTAGGGCATGAGGATTCTGGGAATCACGGGTTTCCATACGATCTTGGGAGTTTCTCGAGACAGGGCCTAGAAACTACGGCATGTCTTACCCAAAACCCTAAACGTTAGAAGCTGCCCCCACCTTGCAATAGTGGCTATAAGGATTATATTAGGGCCCTAATTATATTCCTGTTATACCACTATTACAGGGTGGGGGCCCCTTCTGACCTAAACCCTAGGTTTATGATAGACATCTCACGACTCAGGGTCCTCATCGTGGCCCCTTGTTGTCTGAAACGCCCACGAAGTGCGCAATCCCTCGATCATCGTGATTCGGGTGAGTTGCCAGGGTGTGGTGGTGGTCTCTTGCTTCAAACTCTCAAACCCTAAGCCACCACAAAGCAAGACCCTAGAAGCCTAAAGCCTCAACTGCGTTCCAAGACCATAAGCTCACAAGGACAGCTCACAGAAGCGCTATATCAAAGTAGTCGAATAAGTAACCTTTAACCTGTTTGGGATATTATATATACTCCTTATATAACCCTGATATAACCTGAGTCAAAAATGTGTATTCATACATATATATATATATATATACATATATATACATACTGTATATGATGTATGTATGTGTATAATACATAACCTATAGGCCTCATGAGTACCTATGACATTTGGGGGGGAGGGTTCCATTTTGTGGTTACAGTATACTATACGCCCCAGGCCCTATTCGAATCTTTAAGGCCGCTGTTCTACTGAAGAAGGCCCCTGTAGTATAGCTCCGGCAGGCGAACTCCTTCGCGCCTCATTTGAAGCATTCTATCATGATTTTTTCAGCGGGTCGTCGACAAGGGGCCTGAGTAACTAGCAGTACACCGTACCTTAGCCTCAAATAACCGACTTTTTCAAGGACTTCTAAAGAAATCATAATGCGGAACCTTAAAGAAGTAGGGTATTTGGGCCCAGGAAGAGCCTCCGGCTTTTCCCTGCCATACTTATCATATCTGGCAGTCTAGTCGGTTTTTCCCTGGGGTTCCGCCTGCTTTAGTATAGCAGAATACTATCCCAAAACCCGCGTCCAACTCTGTAGGCCCTCCCCCGAAACCCTGCAATCCCAAACCCCCTAAAATCTAAACCTTGAACCCTGATCCTGAGAACGCCGGCCTAGGTCAGGCTCCTACATACCTTAAAACCTGCCCACGAAGCCCTGAAACCCTAAAGCCTACACCCTAAGCCTTGAACTCTAATGCTTTTCCTTCAGCCTTTAACCCTAGTGCTTCCTCAGGCCTTAAACCCTAACACTCTTCCTGAAGTCCTGCACACTAATACTATTCCTTAAGCCCTAGTCCCGCATTGTTCCTTAGGATTCAGGTGAGACGCCAAAGCCTTTCATTGAGGAATATACCCTGGAGAACTACAGAGGGATCCAACGTCTGATTTATGGTAGATTCCCTAACTCATACCTACCTAAACCCTCAAAAATAGGTAAAATAATTGCCCAAACTCTTTAAAAGACCATTATTCTACATACTTTGGGGTCCAGGTAACCCCCAAACCCCCAAACCCCTGAAGCCTAACCCTCAACTCTAAAGACGAGCCTTGAAACGTCTAAAGTCTTTACCCTAAACCCGGTTTATGGATTCAGGCAGATGGAGCCTAACCCCTGAAGCTTGACCCTAAAACCCAAACCCTAAACTCTAAACCCTAACCCCTGAAACTTGAACCTAAACCCTAAAACCGAGACCCTAAACCCTAAACCCTAAAACCCTATTTATGGATTCAGGCCCCTACCTTCGGGTTCCGATTCGTCTCTTGGCTTCTGCACTGCGCCGAGTTCTGAGATGAGGCCTTCAGCCGGTGAAGGCCTGAGGATAGGAGTGCTCCTTTAAGGCATCCTTTAAGGACTTAAGGGTTTAGGGTTTAGGGTTTGGGGGGTTTAGGGTTTAAGGTTCAGGGTTTAGGCTTTTGTGGGGGTTTAGGGTCTAAGGTTCAGGGTTTAGGGTTCAGGATTTAGGATTTGAGGGGCCTTTGGGTATTATGTATTATTTAGGGACCTGCATAATCAACGGTTTATGGTCTTAGGGTTTAGGGTTCTAGGTTTTAGGGTTTAGGGGCCTTTGGGATAGTTGAGGGTTTAGGATTTAGGGTTTAGGCTCTCCCTGAAACGCTTGGGGGTCTTTGGGATAGTTGAGGCTTTGGGGTTTAGGATAGGACTCAGGGTTTGGGACCTACATAACTGCAAATACTCTGCCTTAGGGCTCCTGATTGTAAGTTGTTTAGGGGCCTCAATAATCGACGGTTTAGGCTTAGGGTTTTAGGGTTTAGGACGTAGGGTCTTCCTAATTTTTTAGGGGCCTTCGGGATGGTTTATATGTCCCCTATCGGGCATAACAGGATCGGACTACCCAATCAGTTACTGCTTCTTGGGAGTAACTACATGCGGCTCCAGCTCCATCCGGATGACACTTGGCAACAAATCGCTCGCAGCCTCTCCAGGCTCAGCTGGACTGTCTGACAGAATGGCCGCTGCCATAGGCAATGAGTTTGATGACCTCCTCAGCGCCTTGCCATTCACAGAAGCAAGAGAACGGCTGGAACCAATCCTGGTGATGGCAGGGGGCTTCCCCATCGCTTCAGGCATGCCTGATGTGATCCATGACTTCGCTCCTCTTTCGGCTACATCTTTCATGGAGACCTGCGAGGCAGCCTTGAAGCAGTGGCACCGCAAGAAGTCTGATGACTTAAAGCTTGACAACAAGACGTGCGGCGCATTGACTGTTGCACTGCAGATGTTGCCCAAGCTCATCCGTCGAGTGCCTACTTGCAAGATCATGGGCTTAGGTGAATACACATACTTTCCCTTGGAGCTCCCTACTACAAGTTGCACCATCATATCCACACAAGACAAACCCAATTCTAATGACTAGGGCCCCTATAGTACTTTCGGTCTTGTGGCAGTTTTGGGATTTATTGTCTAAGGTTGAGTTCAAGGTTTAGGGAGGAAGGTTGGGGGTTGCTGGGGCTTCAGGGATTCAGGGTTGCAGGTTTAGAGTTTAGGTGTGGCTTTGAACTAGAAGGCCTCATCATTCAGTGGTTAGGACGGATCCCCTTCTGATCCGTGTGGGCCGCTATGTCGGTTAAGGGTCCTATAAGGGTCAGTTGTTCAGGGTTCAGCCTGTAGGAGTAGGGGTTTAGCGTTTAGATTAGGGTTTGGCTTTGGGTTTTTGGGTTTTGAGTATAATGGGCGTGTGAAGTTCTATAAGTTATCAGAGAAACGGGTCCCAGGTCGAGGTGTGAAGGCTTTGGCGCATGCAGAGGCAATCTCTAGGCATCTCCCGCCAGACTCGGCAACCGCAACCACGTGCGGGAAGACGCAAAACAGGAGTCAGCAAGCTGTAGATGCTAAGGCTTATGGTTTCGGTTTTCGGGCTTATGGATCTCGGTTTAGGGGTTTAGGGTTTAGGGGCTTCAGGTTCAGGGTTCAAGGTTCAGGGGGTTATTGGCAAGTAGATTTTGTCTTCGGACTCGATCGAAGATTTCGGTGCTACAGCGTTATCTTCAATGGAAGCACATGGCAAAACCCTATTGAAATGATTCCTTCATCAGCTAGCTGGGGTCACAACATGACCCCTGTCACAGAAGGGTCTGAAGACTCTTCTAGAAAATTTGTTTCGCACAATATACCGCCAAAACCCTGCTGCAATCAGTAAGGACCCTTGCGGCATAGAACTCCATTATCCTCTTTACTCAGCCCCACGTGCTTGCCATATTGCTGTGGCCCATGCTTCTCTGACAACTACCCCAAAAAACCGACTAAGCTCCTTGCACGGTCGGAACGATTAGTAAGAGCAAGACATTCTAGTCCTTGATGTAACTATGGCATCTAGAGTGGAACATGCCCCCAAGCCCCATTCGGACTTTTTGAGGCCCCACATAGCTATGCCAACTTGTTTTCTGAAGCTGCTGGGCTGAAAAGCTTTTTGGCTTAAGCTTGTTTTCTGACCATGTTCCGAAACCGCAGATGTACGCTCAGAGCACGTAACTCACTCTGAAGCCCTGACCACCCTTCTGGGCACCGTTGGGAATCATGTTCCACTCTGATCATAGTATGAACCGACGGCATGTGAAATGTGCTGTTGTGGGCTCAAAGGTCTCAGTGAGCCTACTTGTAGGATCATGGGAATTGGCAAGTCAGGTTTTTCAGTAAACCAGTTTGGGTTTTAGTAACTATAGATACGGTCAGGTTGTTCAGCAAATTAGTTGGCTTTTAGTAACTATAGGTATAGTTACATACTTGTAACCCTACTTATATACAAAGTCCCAGGATCCTTGAAGTAAGCCCTCGAACCCAGAGCCTGCTCGGGGCTGAGGACATTTGGCTTTGTCAGAGACTCGAAAACGAGAAGCCCATATGGGAGTTTTCGGAAACTCCCATATATCCCGCCTTAGACGCACCGGTTAAGGAGGGCTTTGGGTTTCGAGGTTTGATGTTTCGGTTTGGAGGGTTTAGCCTCCTTGCAAGGACATGAAACCGTAAACCCCCCAGAAGGGGAGCCGTACAGACGACTGCCCTCGTACAGCCACGGGGGTGTGCCTCACCGTTTCGGTCTTCATGGCAACCTGAACTGTAGAGCCATGGCGGAAAAGCGATTCGAAGAGGAGGAGCGGATCTTCCAGCCCTGCTTTCATCCAAGGGCTCCAAGGGTGGGATGAAGGCAGGTGATATAGGGGCATAAATACTGCTTTAGGGTTTAGGGTTGGGGGTTAGGAATGGGTTATTATAGTTTGTTTTGTGGCCTTCAATTCAATCCCGAGCTAGAGGAAAGAGGGAAAGACCTATTCGCCTTTTCGTAAAGGATCCAGGACGTCCACCATGCAGGATACCCATAGGACTCAAAGAGCATACCTGAAACGATCAATTTCGGATTTCTTGAGACGAGCGTGACATCATGGAACAGCCGGGTTTAGGGTCTAGGAGTTCTTCAAAAGCGAAGTTGGTACAATTTCGTGGAGCTGTTCAAAAGAGTGACATAAGCTCCCCCATTCGGGCCTCTTTCTGGCCTGAGGCATTGGGTTTAGGGTTTGCAGAGATTTAAGTTCAAGGGTTTCCTGTTTGCTTTTTCTGTATAGGGATTGCTAGGCCGGCATGTTTGTTGAGCCCGATTAACTTCGTCGCTTCGTGGCACAGCCCTCATGAAACATTGAAGAAATGTGTGCATTCCATTAAACGGTGTGTCAATAGATGTGAGATGCGTGAGATCCCCTATGTACTTTACACTTTTGGGATAATAATACCCACCATAAAACTAAAAGTGTATATACACTTTTTGGGGCTTCTGAACTCAGCAACTAAGCCTAACACCCTGACCCTTGAACGCTAGGCTTGGCATGGTGCCGATGACGAGACCTGGCAGGAGGCCAACAATGACCTTTGCAGGGTTCGGGCTTTAGGGTTCCTTTAAGGGCTCGGGGTTTCCACAGCGTTTCAGGGATCCTTCCAGTTCCAGAAGAGTACAGAGAGCTTTTCGGGTTTAGAAGTTTGCGAACTAAGGGCGTATCCTCTGGGTTTAAGGTTTGATTTTAGGTGCTATGTTGAATATCTAGGGGTCCTGGCAGTCAAGAGAACTGTCTGAACCTCCATTGGCTTGCTTGCGTGTAGTGCATGTACGACTAAACCGTACAATATGCGCCCTGCAAGGCTTGCACTCTAGACCCTGCAATCCGTTTACCCTACACCCCACACGCAGATAGAGGTCTTTATATGTGGCATCTCATGGTATCCCCTTGCAGTCCCAGTGTATTTAGACTACGACATACCCCGAAAGCCCAAGGTAAGGCAAGCCTAAACCCTGAACCTCATTGTGATCTATATAAAAGGGGACCAAAACTGTAAAAAACTACCCTCTTTATGGAGACCCCAGCCAGCCTCCAAGAGCCCGAGCCACTTGGCGTGAAGTCTCACAATCCTGGGCCCCAAAAGCATTCACACCCACAAGCTTAGGCTTTTGTTGTGGTTCTTGGTACTTCAGGGTCAGAATGTCTAGCTGGCTTTAGGGTATTTAGGGTTCTGGGAGTTGAGAGGTTCAATCCAGGATTCAGAATCCTAAATCATAGTAACCGTCGTGGAACCTCGATGGGACCTCAACAACAACCCCAAGCATCCTTCAAAACACTCAGAAACACCATCCTCAAACCAACAAATCCTGGGCCCCGAGCCCGTTCCTTTCATCGCCCATCGCCAGGGACAAGCCTGGGAAGAAGGCCTGGTCGAGGGTTAATGGTTTCGAGTTGAGGGTTTAGAGGTTTGCGGCTTTTGGGGTTTAGGGATTTAGGCTTTCGGGGTTAAGGATTACAGCTCAGCTCTAAGGCATTCTGTAAAGAAATTTTGGGCTCAACCCTAAACCCCTAAACCCCCAAACCTTCAGCCCTGAATTAACCGGGATCATAAATTGGATACTGGGGTGTCGGTTCTGAAGGCGTTGCGTTTCGGGACCTGCTTTGGTGAGCCCTAAACACCCTAACACCCTAAAGCTCATTAAAGCTCTCAACTTCCTAACTCTCCAAGCGCTGAACCCTATAATCCTAAGCCCCTAAAAAGGGTTCGTGTTAAAGAACTGAGTTATATAGAGAAACTGAGCCACCCTGTAATAGTGGTATAATAGGAATATATTAGGGCCCTAACATAATCCTAGATAACCCTTATAGTCACTATTACAGGGTGGGGGCAGCTTCTAATGCATACTTTAAGTTGCCATGATAAAGCAACCCAGTATTTACTACAGCTCCTTATGGAGGTACCAGGTAGTTTGCAGATAAACTTTGGGTACGGCCCCACTCAGGAATAGTTATATAGTATTCATAATCTAGATCTATTGAGACCTTAATAGTAGCCCTATTACAGACTCTTAGTGTATGGGGGCAGTACCTAAGATAAGCTTCTTAACCAGAGGCGGCTCTGGAAAATCATTACCAGTTCTATTTTGTTATTCTAATTATTAAGGCCCCTATATTAGGGGCTTGGAGGTTGATGTTCGTCCCGCTTGAGAGCAGGTCCGGGTGTCGGCTTTGACTCTTCAATGCCGGCTGGAAGACTTCGGGTTTAGGTTCTAGGGTTTAAGGTTCAGGGGCCTCGGCATTTAGGGCTTAGGGCTGTTGGGCTTTTGGGTTTAGGGGCTTAGAGGTGGAGAGTTTAGGGTTCACTTCAGATACTGATGGCTCCTGGGGTTATGCTCTGCATTTGGTTGAACTTCGTCGTGTCGTGCTTCGGCTTCTTGCGGTAAAGGCGCACCTCCACCTTCCATAGTCTCCAACCACGAAGTGGGAGTTTCTGAAAATAGGGGACCCTAATATGGTACCCTAAACAGTAGGATCCTGATTATAAAATTCCCAAAGTAAGCTACTCCTATAATTTTCGGAAGCTCCGATTCGGCTGAGTGTAACGGGCAAATACCTGGCGGTGCGAGACGACGAGTCAGACTGTGGCTGTGCTTGCTTCTAGGCCGTGCCGTAACCCCCCAAAACACTACCTTTCTGGGGTTCATTAATATGATTTCCTTTCAACAGTCTGTAAAAAGGTAGGATATTCAGGGTTAAGGTAGTCTGAGTGAGTAATTCACTGTGCAGGTTGCTGATTTTGCTTTCCTTGGACCGGAGACCCTAAAAGCCTACAGCGGAGAAAGCCCCGAAACCCTTAAACCTAGAACGGTTTAGGGTTTAGGGTAGAATTTAAACCCCGAACAAAGTAACCCTAACCCCCTCGCCGCAAAGCTTTGATCATGAAGGGACTTGAAATGGAAATATGTATAATCCCCCATAAAACCCTGTTCGGTTGCTGGCTTGGGGTTTGTGGACCCACAGGCGCTGACCACTTGGAAGGCCGGGAGGGCGAAAGCAGCCCAAGCCCGAAACACTTAGGGTTTAACGGTTTAGGGTTGAAAGGGTCAAGGTTCAATACTATAACCCAAACCCTAGACCCTAAACCAAGGTTCAATACTATACCTTAAACCCTTAACCCAAAAAAAAAACTACAACCTAAACCCTAAACCCTAAACCAAGGTTCAATACTATACCCTAAACCCTAAACCCCCTATAAAAAAAAAAACTACAACCTAAAGCCTAGACCCTAAACCAAGGTTCAATACTATACCCTAAACCCTAAACCCTAAACCCTAAACCCCCCTAAAAAAAGAACTCGAACATCGACCCTGGAGGGGCTCTGAGCTCCCCGAACCCACTTTGTTTCGGTCTGGAGGGTCGAGTTTTGGGAGGGCTTGCGGGTTTAGGGCTTAGGGTTTAGGGTTTAGGGTTTAGGGTTTAGGGCTTAGGGTTTAGGGTTTAGGGTTTAGGGGTAAGAGAGCCCCGCCGAGCCCCAAACGAAAAGGCTTGGGTCCTTGTAACCTTACGATGGTCTTTGAGTTGAAGGTTTCGGGATGTGTGGGGCTTGGGCTTTAGGAGAAGTTAAGGCACAACTTGCGGCAATACTTCATTTCCTAGAGGCTCTTCTAGGGATGCCCAGTAGTACCCTTATTCCCTTTTTGTAGTCCTAGGTTCCTTATAAAGTTACCTTGGAACGGGTACATCATCTTCCCACCTGTCCGCAAACATGAGTTGTGTTCAGCGCAGGACGTTCAGCCACATGCAGATGATGCATTCATTGAAACAGAAACATGGCCACCCCAAACAATGTAGAAGGTTACAGGGAATCAACCAGTGGAAGAGTAGTTTTATAGATAACATACCAATATACAGCGTGTCGTGAAGAAAGCACGGACGAATGTGAAGGCTATATTAAATGGTTTTTCCAACGGTGTTCTTCCTGTATTGCACAGCAATAATCACTTTTGGAAGCTTTGGACCGACCAAGAGCCCTACGTAAACCAACGGATAAGGTTCGAAGAAGCATACAAGACATCCCTAAATCCTAAACCCCAAACCCCAAGCCTTTACCGTCAGAATCCTCGGTTCGAAGCTAGACAGGCGAAGAGGAAGAGGAAGAGATGGAGGACGCATAGCTGAGGGGGGGGGGCCTTTGTCGAAGTGGGGGTTTCAACGGTTTAGGATTTAGGGGTTTAGGAATTTCTACAATTTGTTTTAAACCCTAAGTTCCCACTTCAGGAGATCGGGGTGAAGGGGTTCAGAGCTTGTGATGCTCCGGGTTTGTGGTGGGCTCAGGTGGAGGAAGCCACTGTCGAAGCATGCAAGCGCCTGAAACCGCAAGCCATAAACCTTGCAGACGTTATGTAAACGCTTGAGATTGCTGAGCCCCCCCCCCGAGGACCTTAGTAAAAAGGGTCCTTGTTCAGCTCCTCATAGACCCTCTTCTGCAAATGCGGGGGGTTAGACATCAGGGTCTACAGCCCGAAACACGAGTACCGAAGTCCAAAGGAAGCCTGGGATGCTATCCCCGTACCGGCAAATCGACCCAACTACCCAAAGACTCCAATATGCCTTAATTAAGGAATATACCTTAAATGATATAAGGGATCCTACAATAATTTAAGGAATATTCCTTAATTTGGAGTCTCTGGGTAGAAGGATCGAGGGGACGTATTCATTGGTAACTTGTAGCACCATCAGTAGTTCCCCTAGAATACTGGACAAGTTTGGGGGGCCCCTAGGTACATAGAATTTTGAAAGGCTTAACCTGTAACTGTAGTTCCCCTAGGACACTGGACAAGCAGGATATAACCAATACTAGTTTGGGGGGGGCTCCTCATTATAAATACAGAAGGGGCTGTCCTGGGGCCTGCGCTTTTGCAGTCTAGCTATTTGCAGAGAATATGAATATGATAATCCTTCATTAACACCCCCCAAACCCTATTCTGAATGTTTAAGGCCCCGAGGCTCTAGGATACTGGACAAGTCAGAAATCGCAGGAAGCTGTTGTGATCATCGACAACGGCTCTGGGCTCTGCAAGGCCAGAGAGACAACCTCACCTCGTAGGGTGCACCTGGATCCTGTAAACTTAGATAGTGAGCGGTGGAGCTTTAATCTTTTGGCCTCCTATACTTAAAGGATCATGGGACTTAGTAAGTAGGGTTATAAACAAGGTAACCATACTTATAACTACTTATAACCCCAATTAAGGTACTTATAACCTTACTTACTAAGTCCCATGATCCTCCCAGTACTAGCTCTATCTGCGACAGTTTGAACCTTTTGGGGCACGGTTGTTGAAGACGAGAGTAAAGCCTTCCTCCATAGGGCTCCCTATATTTATGGCTTCCTTATAGAAGTCCTTAAAGAGGTGGGTTATTTGGGGTCCAGGTGGGGTCTAGGGCTTAGGGCATCAAGTTTGGGGTTGGGGTCTGGGACCTCCGGCCGGGGTTTAGGGTTTAGGGTTTCAGAAATTTAGGGTTTAGGGGCAGGGGTTCAACCTCAAGAGAGCTACAGGGCCCTAGAAGCGGAGGAAGGAGCTTACCACCCTATACCCCCCCTTGTCTAACAGAGGTAAGCCCTCAAACCACTATAGACCCGAACCCCGAACCCCAACTAGACCTTTACATCCCAAAGCCAATACGACAATCCACTAAACCCGCAAACCCTGAACCTCAAACCCTTATCCTAACTATTCCGGCCACCAAGCGCCAAACGATCGCAGGTCCATGACACGTGTATTGTAGCCCCTGTGGGTGACACCGTTTGCATCCCTTTTCTAAGTTCTAACCATTGAGGACCCGTAATCCCCAAACCCTCAAGCCCTATCCTACCGATTCAGGGGCCCATAAACCCCAAGCCCTAAACCACCAAACCCCAAATCCTGAAGCCGTAAACCCTAAACCCCCATCATTCCCTAAACCCTAAACCCTTATAGATCCCTTTAAGAAATCCCGCTACAGGAACCCTTAAACCCCAAAGCCCCCAAACCATGCCAGGTGGGCCTTTCCACGGATCAAATGCCGAAGTTCATCTTCAACGAAGTCCTCGGTCGCCCAAGGGCCCTCTGGAAGGCAACGGAAGGGATTCGGGGTTTAGGGCTCGGGGCCCTAAACCCTAGGGTTTACATATAGGGGATACTATCAGGGCGACCATAAGCGACATTATCAGGGATGCTATACAGGACACTACCATATTGGGAGTTCAAAATAATTACCTATACTACTTGGGGGTTCCTTATTATATGAGTATAGTATAATAGGCCCCAAAGCCCTATTCTAACTATCAAGCCCAATATTAGGGTTTACAGCTCGGGGCCCTAAATAACCCCTAGGGTTTACGGGTCAGGGTTTAGGTGGTTTAGGGCCGAAGGTGCAGAGTTTTGGGCTTGAGGCCGAGAGTTCAGGGTTCAGCGCTTAGGGATAAAGGTGTTTAGAGCTTAAGTTTGGGGTTTAAAGCTTCGAGCTTGGAGTTTAAAGTTGAGGGTTTCAGCTTAGGATCTAGACGGTTTAGGCATGTTGTCTCATATTTGTGTTGGTTCTGCCGTTTTGTCTGCTGTGGCTCTACTTGTTTTGGGTGTTTGAAGGGGGCTCTACTTACAGGATCATTGGGCTCAGTGGCTAGGGTTATACGTAAGTACGGCAACTATACTTACAATTGCCTCACGCACTAAGTCCCATGATGATTTTAAGCAAGCCCGCGATCCAGATGTGCAAAGCTTTGCTAAGCCGGATGGCAGCATGTAGAACGGACAAGGGGGCTTCAGCAAGCAAGAACTGCTGACTAATCTCCTCAAAGCCTCTGAACCCTAAAACCCTAAACCTAAACCCTAGAGCTACAGACACCCTATACCTAAAGGAGAAGATGCAGAAGCAGGGGAAGCCCATGAAGGATTTCTATGTGGCCGACGAGCCCCCTGGCTTCCTGATGGTGTTCGTCAGGTTCAAAGGAAGGCGATCGGAGGTTCATTTGCCTGGGGCTTCAATTGGTGGCTGGGTGGGCAACTGGCAGGTAAGTACAGCACCAACATGGCAAGATTCCACGACTTCAAAGATCTTCAAAGCTTCACGGAACCCCACACCCACGGTATGCGGCTGAGGTTGTACGCCAGGCTAGGGTACCTTGGATGTAGAGTTTAGGGAGAGTACTCGAGTTCCCAAATACAGTATCGCCCTGCAAACTGACTGTAACTTCGCTCCCTCGCCACAACTAATGAGCACAAAACTCACCCCTGGACCTTAGAGCCTCCCAAGAAGCGACGGCAACAGTCTTCCAAGCCAGGGTCATAGTAGCAACCTCTGGCAAGCACAGCTACCGATGTAACAAGATGTTGGAAATATTGTTACATCTATCAGACAGTCTGCACACAAGAGATGCCCACACACCCCCAAACCACTAAACCCTTAGCCCTTAACCGCTGAACCCTGAAGCCTGATCCCAACTCCACCCTCAGCCCGTAGACCTCCAAGGATTGATGCCAGCAATCGAGACAAGGCCCTGAGCTCGCTTGGATTGTCGGTGTTTTCACGGAGATTTTAGGGCCTAGGTTTGGGCTTTCGGGTTTAGAGGAGTATCTATCTGTGTTGTTCCCGCCCTTTCCTTCAGGCGCAAGACCATGTTGTTTCTTGTATGTTTTATAAGGCCTTCGATGGGTCGCCTGAAGGTGCATCTGTGGAATTCTGGGGGATGTTTGCGGACGACGGGTTCTGGGGCATGCTGCCGCACATGTGCCAGCCGCGCCTGGCCCAAGCTGCTCTTCGGAAGTAGTTGATTCCTGGTCATGGCGAGCACCGCACGAACCTCTTGGACCAATCAGACCATTGACCTACTCCGGCAGAACCCACATATCGACTGCAAGCCGGTCTTGAAGGAGTTGATTCCTGAGACTCTCAAGACAGGCATCCGGTTTGTCTCTCAGCAAAGCAAGGCCACCGAAGGAGTCCGTTCAGTGCGCTTAGATGCATGGTTTTACATCCGACGTATCAGTGCTTCCGATGTTCTGAAAGCCCTGCGTAAGACAGGGTTCAGCTCGGAGTCCTTGAGGAAGGATGTGGAGCAGAGCATGCAGCACCAGAAAGTCTACCACGTCGTGATCCGAGGCAATGATCCAAAGTTCATGCCTTTCGGAAAGCGTGACGGACAGGATTTGGTAACCGATTATATCTGCGAGCAGATGTCTTTCATCACTGACAAGGTCGACCAACTACTGTTCGAAGATCTTTCGGAGCCTTCCAGCATCCAAGAGGCCATGGCTGATCACGCCTTCGACCACATGCTGGAGCAGTACTTCCTTCGGGGCAGGCATGATAAGGAAGAGACACTCCATCTTGTTAGCCGATTCAGGGGAGGAGGGAACTTGCTTCATACCTGCATCAAAGAGGGCTACCTGGACTCGTTGAGATTGCTGTTGGACCGATTTACCCCGGAATCGCAGCCAGGGGCGCGGTGGAGGGCCTTGGCAGAACCCCTGCGCCCCGTGGGGCTCTACAAGTGCTCTGCGTTCCACCGTGCGGTCTTCGACGGCCGCCCGGACTGTCTTGCAGAGCTGGTTCTCTGGGCGCAGCGGCATGGGCATGACATCACAGAGCTCCGGAATGTAGAGGAGAGAGACATCATCGCTGGCAGTCAAAGAGGCTTGACTTGCCTGGAGCTGTCCGAACAAGAGGGCAACCTGGCTTGCTACAACGTCTTGGCGCCGCTCTTCGGTGCCCCCAAGAAGGAGTGTGCCACAGATGCGAAGCCACGGGAGACGCGTGTGGCGGAGAGAACCATGGCCAGAGTGGAGATTGCAAGCGCAAGCGAGCAGACACTTCAGCTTCGACCGGTGAATCTTGAGAGTCAGAGCCTCACATGGGAGGTTGTGCTTGATTCCATTCGAGACTTGAAGCGGAGCGATGTCTACAAAGGCCTTGATCCCAGCCAGATGGTGCTGAGGTTGGAGAACCTGGTTTTCGTCGATGATGCCAGCGAAGTGCAGGTGGACCGACTCCTTGCCGAGAGTAGTGGCATGGCAGCTTTGGAAGCCAACTCATGCATTTGGAAGACGGAGAAAACGGCTCTGAGCTTCCTGGCAGTTGTCGTGGGACGCCTTGAGATGGAGGCTTCTTCGAGACTGCCCCCACGCATGCCGCAGAAGGTGCACGTGTCGTCCCCGGTTGCAGAGGACCTTCCCTTTGCGGAAGAAGATCCGACCGATCGGCAGGTCGTTTCGCAGCTGCTTCGATTTGCAGCTGCTTGCGGCAGATGGCCACATTTCTTGGGGGCCCGCAATGGCATGTTAAGCCACATGCAGGCCTTGCGTCTAGCGTCTCGAGACACGCAAAGCCATGCAGCCACAATAGCCGCCATTTATGCTACACGTCTGAACTTCTTTTTGGGCCACCTCCCCAGTGATTTCGATGATGAGGGTGTGGGAGAGTGGCTGCGCAAGCAGCAACTCATGCCCTTGGCACGAGCTGTCTTCTCCCGCTTCTACAACCTCGACAAGCTGCTAGCGCAGGAGCCGGAGGATGTGAACCAGGCTGTTCCTGCAATGTAGGGGCGTTCATGCGAGTAGTTAGAGTAGGGTTTGGGGGTATATTATATTAACATTCATAATACGGAACCACCCAAAAAACCTGTTCTGATTATTAAGGCCCCTACGTTAAAACCGTCAACAAGCTCTAGAACATAGTGAGGTGGGACCCCATTGAATTAACAGAACAAACACGACACTTAACTTAAATCGCAAACCCTCAACCCTAAACCCCCCAAACCCTAAACCCTAAAATTCTGGACCCTAACCCCCAAACCCTATACCCGAAATATCCTAAACCCTGAGGCCTTCTCCCCATCACCCTCCACCCTTAAGTAGTCCCAAAAGATGAGTAACTTAAAAGTAAGTAACTTGAAAAATACGTCACTTACAGTAGCAAAATAGCCGAATGTAAGAAAATGAGCAACTTATTGCCTCCAGGCCATGGAACTTGCAGTGGTGCCGTTCCTGAAGCTGTCCCTGTCGGCCTGGTTCGCTACTGCTCCTGGGTTCGAAAGGCGGCTCTAGGGTCTTAGGGGTATAGGGTCTTCGGGCTACGGCTAGAGTAGAAGCCCCTTACAGGTGGGTAGTTCTTCTTCCATAGTACTCCCATAAGACCCCCTTTACCTTATAGGAGTGGTATGGGAGGCTTATGGGAAACTACCCACCTAATAACTACCCGCTAGAGGCTCTTAGGGCCTAGAAGTTATACGATTAGTGGAGCTGAGAAATCACTTCACTAAAACAGTGTTCTGAGCTAAGTCCCATAATCCTCCAATGTGTCCAAACCCAAAACCCTATAAACCCCTGAACCCTAAACCCCTAAACCCTAAACCCTAAACCCCTAAACCCTAAACCCTAAACCCCTAAACCGTCCTCCGGATCGCCCCGGGGCTTAGGTCCCCAGGGCGGAGACTGCCGACATCTGGCGCGCCTGGAGCGCGGCTATGAGGGTGTTGTCGAAATTAGGGTCCGTTTTTTGGGTCCATACTGCTGATGGACAAAATCCTGCATGGCCCTAAGGACTCTAAACTATGGGAACTAGGGTACATTCCTTATAATGGGTAATGCAGGATTTTGTCCATCAGCAGTATTATATAATACGGCACCAAATATTGAGGGTACCCAAAAAGGGGCCATAATCTTGACAACTACCCATGAGTTTCCGAACATCAAGGGTACCTTTAAAGGGATCCTTTAAGGGGCTCCTTCAAGGGATCTATAAGGGTTCTATAAAGGGGTTTAGGGATCCTTTAAGGGGCTCCTTCAAGGGATCTATAAGGGTTCTATAACGGGGTTTAGGGATCCTTTAGGGGTTCCTTCAGGGGATCAATAAGAGTTCTATACTTTAAAGGGGTTTAGGGTTTTGGGTTTGGGAGTTTCTGAAAATGAAGGGTACCTTATGGGTAGTTGTTGAAGTTTTATAGAGTCCTTTTTTGGGGCCCGCAAAATAAGATGGCACCCTTATAAAAGTACCTTCGTTCAAAGAGCTACCCTTATCTTGGGCGCCTTATAATAAGGATCCTACTATTTAGGGCACTAGATTTCTGGCCCAATATCTTCGCAAACTCCCAGACCCTAAACGCCTAAACCCCTAAACCCCTAAACCCCTAAACCCTAAACCCCTAAACCCTAAACCCCTAAACCCTAAGCCCCAAACCCTAAACCCTAAACCTTTAAGGTACTGCTAGACATGGGTTTTTCATGAAAGAAACATGTTTTTTCAACCCTAAACCCCAAACCCTAAACCTTTAAGGTACACTTTAAAAAAACCTTTAAGGTACCATGTTAGGGTCCCCTCTCTTGGGAAACTCCCAGGCTCTGGGCTCGGAGGAAGAAGTTCTGAAGAAGCAGCTCGCCCCAGCCCTGGACTTTGCCCCTCGCCTCAAACCTAGGGTTTAGGGTTTAGGGTTTTGTGGGTTTAGGGTTTAGGGTTTTAGGGTTTTAGGGTTTTGGGGTTTAGGGTTTTAGGGTTTAGGGTTTTAGGGTTTTGGGGTTTAGGGTTTAGGGTTTTAGGGTTTAGGGTTTAGGGTTCCCGACCCTTAACCAAAACCTCCCAAAGTAGGTAGAATAATGGCCCAATACCTATACAAGGCTATTATTCTACATACTTTGGGGGTCCAGGTAGCCCAAAGCTTTCTTGGTTGTGTTTGATGCACTCGCAGTAGTGCTTCCCGGAGCTTTCGAGAGTTTGGAGGCGTTTCGTGGACATTCAGAGTTGCATGTTGTTTGGATGGAGTCGGAGATAGGAGTCTGCCGGAAAGCTTCTTCAGAGCTACAGGCCTCTTCTTCGGTGTGCTTCCAGGACCCTCCTTGCACCCTCAACCAGGAACACATGTGGTCCCAAATTGCGGGCATTCAGGGTCGAGTAGAGGGTAGATATAAGATCTAGGTCCACACCCTAAACCCTTTGAGTCCCCCCTAACCCCTAAACCCTAACTCCTTATGTCCCGGAACCCCTAAACCTGAGCCCTTAATTTTCCGAAGTTCCTCCTCCCGGCTCTACCTACTAGGTATTCCGACTGTAGCAGGAAGGAAAAGGGCCCTCAAAAAAAAAGTCAATCCGAAGTTCCGAAACTTAGAA